CTCTTGCTCAGGCTGGTCTCAAACTCCTGAGTTCAAGGTTCAAGCAATCTTCCCATCCTGGCCTCCCAGGGTGCTAGGATTGTAGATGTGAGCCACTGCACCGACCAGTTCCTATTATTTTCAAGTAGTCCAGTGTATGGTATTTTGTTATGTCAGCCTCAACAAAGATAGTTGGTGTCCTAAATCTGCTGCCCTGGGGACCAGGGTTTTTCTAGGTGTGTGGGTCTTAGAGAAATCACTTAATCCCTCTGCGCCCTTGTATCCCTCTTCTGTGAAATAGAGATGCATTATATCTATAAATCTTTTATCTATTTCAGATGATTAATACTTCACTGGACTAAAACATAGCTAGATCTATCATTAATTATACTCTGTTTTTATTGTGTACATTGTTGCTAAGTATAGAATAGAAAACCCTTCTAATTGAGGTTTCTAAATATGATTGATGCTGTGTTCAAGGGAGTTTGTAGATCATGAGGTTATTTGGCTTAGAAAAAAAATCACAAATCCATGTTATTTGTAGAAAATGTGGAATATGGGCAGTGCCCATAGTTCAGTGGGTAAGGGCGCCAGCCACATACACCAGGGCTGGGAGGTTTGAATCAGCCCAGTCCTGCTAAAACAACAATGACAACTGAAACAAAAAAAAATAGCTGAGTGTTGTGGCGGGTAGGAGGCTGAGGCAAGAGAATCGGGTGTTGTGCGCTACTTGGGAGGCTGAGGCAAGAGAATCGGGTGTTGTGTGCTACTTGGGAGGCTGAGGCAAGAGAATCGCTTAAGCCCAAGAGTTTGAGGTTGCTGTGAGCTGTGGTGCCAAGGCACTCTACCCAGGGTGACAGCTTGAGATTCTATCTCAAAAAAAAAAAAAAAAAAAGTGGAATATAGGCAAATAGAAAGATGGGCAAAATCGTGTATAATGAGAGCCATGCTTATCATTTTGCCTGTTACACTTCCAGACTTTCACTGATGTACAAACACACATACTCACCCCACATACACCACACAATGACTTAATGATCATGCAGCATGATCATAATGTCTTTCCAGATCAATAGATACAACTTCCTAACATTATTTTTTAATGGCTTGCAGAGTTGTCTGTTCTTTGAATGGACCACAGTATCTTCAGCTATCCTTTACTGTTAGACATTTAAGTTGTTTTCAGTTTGGTGCTTTTGACAACAGTGCCCTGAATATCCTCGGCAAACCTTAAACCATAGCCTTAATTATTTTCAAATAATTGCCGAGTTGAAAAATATGCATTTTTTTCAGTACATACTAAAGGGTTCGGTTTTGAGATGTATGCTTACTGAACTTGAAATAAGCATAATGAGAAATAGCATACACATATAGGGTCATTCTGTGTTAATTCCTGTGCAGTACTCGTTAATGAAATGAACTCCAAAGTAGAGGTAGTTTTACTCATTAGCACTTGTATGTGAGGAACCTTCTTTTGAGGATCTACTTTCGTGAGATTTTTACCATCAAAGCCTTTCTTTTCATTCTGAAAACTCAATTAATGTTAAAGCTTCTTTTAAACAAATTTAGGATCCTTTGGCTACCTGTGACAGCTGTTGGCAGCTACCCTTTAATGTAAAGGATTATGTATTTCAGATGCTTGATGCAAATTATTGCCTTTAAATCTACTGCAAGTTCTCCCTCTCACTATTTTGAGAGCAGGGGCATCACTGCTTTTGAAACCCAGAGGAAAGCTGCCTTTCAAAAAGACGTTGTTAGAGTGGGGGCTGGATGCGACCAGTTGTTCTTCTATAATTGCGTAGATTCTATTGTCTTACAAGTTTACAGAACACCTTTAGGATTTCGCCAACTGGAAAGGAAAATGACTTCATGAACGAAGTATAGACTTGAAAATACCTACACATACGGAAAGCCTGAGTTCAATCAAATCCCTATAGAGTTGGCTGAGTCTCCTTGCTCCTAAGTTTGAATACATCGATTGCTGTGTAATCAATTGTTTCTGAGACCTTAAAATTCATCTTGTTACTTTTCAGAGCTTACCACCTTGAAACTGGGTCATCTTCGTGCTAACTTCCATACATTTATTGCCCAGGTCCTACTTAATCACCTTGGGATATTATTAATAATTTACTTAAAACTTGTACCTTCTTTTAAAAACAAACTTCTTGCAAGTTATTGTTTCAATTGTGTGAGCAGATTAGGGAAAGTGCTTCACCCTTTCTCTTTCACTTGCCCTCTTTCTTTTCCCTCCCCTCGCTCACTGAAAGGCTCTGGGACACCCGGGCTCTGACCTGGAAGATCTTGTCATTTAGAAGCAGGGGAGGGTTTCTGAGGATGGTGAAACCATGGATGTATTTTCATCACCCTAAAAAACATTTATTCTCCTTTCTATAACCCTTCTTTTAGCAATAAAAAAAAAAATAAAACCATGTTATTTTTTGAATATTTTTCTTTTTTTTTCTTTTTTTTTTTGAGACACAGTTTCCCTTTGTCACCTTGGGTAGAGTGCCGTGGTGTCACAACTCACAGCATCCTCAAACTTTGGCTGAAGAGATTCTCTTGCCTCAGCCTCCCCAGTAGCGGGGACTACAAGTGCCTGCTACAATGCCCGGGTATATTTAGAGACAGAATCTCAATCTTATTCAGGCTGGTCTCTAACTCTTGAGCTAAAGTGATCTCCCAACTGTGGCCTCCTCCCATGGTGCTGGATTACAGGTGTGAGCCACTGTGCTGGCCTTGAATTTTTTTCCTATTAACACACTTTACTATTCATTGTGAAACGTGGGGAAAATGAAAGAAAGAAACACAGCTAGGTACCAAGTCAACTTTAAGTTACATTTGGTAACATCCTGGTACTAATTCCCTGTCCCCTTGTTGCAGATACCCAAGTCAAAAAGAGTTTTACTCTGCTGGGGCATCTGTCATTTCCTCTCTCCTACAGGTTTAGACCAAGGGAAACTGTTTGTTGGTAACCTCAGAATCACGTACTCACTGGATAAAAGCTTCAATAGCTATTGTGCATTGCACTCCTGTTTAGCTTGGGATGAGTATTACCATCCACATGCCTGTGGGGTTACTGCTTCCCACTCACTTTCTTGGCCCAGAAACAACAGCTACTCCTGGTTCCTTCCTGGCTCAACATTCCTGTTCTTCACTGGGACCAGCGCATTTGGCTGTAACCCTGAAATCCTCTATGAATGAGCTCTTGCCGTTCCCTTCCCCTAGGGAGCTGCACCCTATTTCTCAATCCCACAGAATCTTGTTCTGAACCACTAGGAACTTGAATGTGGCTCACCCATCTACCTGCCTCTGACACAGTGGGTGCCTCTGGCTGCTGTTTCCCATTAGCTGAAAGTTTTGAGCGACTGATGTCCTAAACGAAGACCTAGTTCTCTTATCACACTTTGGACTCTGATTTGGTCCTACATCCGTTTCTCTAGAAATTCTTCTGTTGCCTGTCAGGGAGACTTGTACATGCTTGGACGGCCACCCCATCAGAGATAAGCAGTAAGCCCCACATCACAGAAAGTATCTAAGCAGAAACAACACAGCACGAGGAGCTCCGACAGGTATATCTCACTGGACAGAGACTGGAATAATCACTGCAGTTGGTTAAATTCTGAGGTTATTGTAATTCAACAGTACTTGCCTTTCCCACTTCACAGAGTCAATGAAAACTCTTGTGATTCTCCATCCTGTGCTATGCTGACTCGGTCCAGAAGGCTTTGTTGTATTCTCAAATGTAAATTCAAATTTTAAAAAAATCGTATCAATACAAAAAGTAGGACAAAACCCAACTTGATCAGAAGTGTTGTTTGGCCAGGAGCAGTGGCGCACACCTGTAATCCTAGCACGCTGAGGAGGGTGGATTACTTGAGTTCAGGAGTTCAAGACCAGCCTGAGCAAAAGCATGACTCCCACTATCTACCAAAAATAGAAAAACTAGCCAGGTGTTGTGGCAGGCACTGGTAGTCCCAGTTACTTAAGAGGCTGAGGCAAGAGGATCACTTGAGCCCAAAAATCTGAGGTTGCTGTGAGCTATGATCCCACAGAACTCTACCCATGATGATAAAGTGAGATTGTCTCAAAAGAGAGTGAGAGAAAGAGGGAGAGAGAGATGGAAGTGTCATGTTTGATCATTTCAATTGAACTGACCAAATTATCTCAGTTACCTAGTGATTCTGTTACTTCTGTCTGATGGTGTGACAACTGCTTTTTTTGATTTTCTAGTTACACTAATTGGATATATATTCAGTTTGTTTTACACATGGATCTGTGAGTAATCCCAACAAGAGGAGTGGTGGCTACTTTGCTTTTAATAGAGAGAATTTATTGAACTAAATTCAGGAACTGGCCTGTAAGCATGCACAAATGCAAATACACAAAGTGGTATTGGGGTGTGGTGGCGAATCTCCCCTCTGTCTGCCCCTTCCTCCACATCCGTCCAGCCTTCCTTAGGCAGGGGGATTACAAATCTTCTGAAACCTGACTGATGATCATGGGCGCCCTCCTACTCTGAAACCACCACTGGCATTTTGATATGACTCCCCGAGAGAAGGTTCTCCCAGCTCTTTTATCAATGTTCCTCCATAGCTTTAAAATCCAGCCCTGGTGCTTTCTTCAATGCAGTGCACCCCCCTACCCCCCAGGA